TACATTCCTGGTAGAAATGTAAAATAGAGAAGCCACTTGGAAAAGTTTGGCAGTTCCCCCACAAGTTAAACATAGAGTTACTATATGACTCAACTATTCCACTCCTAGATAGGTACCCAGGAGAAATGAAAACATGTCTACACAAAACTTGTACACAAATATCCATAGGAACATTTTTCATAATAGCCAAAAGGTGGAAACAACCCAAATGTGCAAGATGAATGAATGAATATAATGTAGTATTAATATACCCATACAATGGAATATGTATCATTTGACCATAAAAGGGAATTAAGTACCAATACATGCTACAACATAGACAAACCTGGAAAACATTATGCTAAGTGAAAGAAGCCAGTCACAAAAGACCACTATTATATGATTCCCTTTATATGAAATGTCCAGAATAAGCAAATCCATAGAAACAAAAAGTAGACTAGTGGTTGCCTGGGTGGAAGAAGGGGTTGGGGGGATGAGAAATGATGGCTAATGGGCACAGAGTTTCTTTTTGGGATGAAGACAATGTTCTAAAATTAGACTGTGGTGATGGTTGCACACTCTACGAATATACTGAAAAACACTGAATTGTACACTTTAAATGGGTAAATTGTGTTATGTTAATTCTATCTCAACAAAGCTGTTACAGAAAAAAAAAATCAACTGACAGAGATTCCACACTAAATGTGAATTCAGCATTTACAAATGCAAAGAATAAAAATTCCCCAGGAAAGCCTTTGCAACAAAGAAGCCTCAGGCTGGGCGTGGTGGCTCATGCCTGTAATCCTAACACTTTGGCAGGCAGATCGCTTGAGCCCAGAAGTTAGAGACCAGCCTGGGCAACACAGTGAAACCTCCTCTCTCCAACAACAACAAACAAACAGACAAACAAACAAAAAGCCACACTCCCATCACAGAAACGCACCAAGTCAGAGCCCACAGAAAAAGAGCACAATCAGTAGAATAGTGAGAAGGGGAAGGTAGACCTGAAGAGACCATCATGGATTATTATTCTGGCCACGGTGGGTAGCTGTTATCTGTTATTGCCAGTTCTTCAGTAAGGAGGAGCACGAAGTAGATACAGAATTCCACAGTTGCCTATCATTATCTTACTTTGATCACATAGATGCAATTTCACACACACACGCACGCATGCACACATACACGCATGCACACATGCACAGATAAATAAGCAAACAAAGGAGTGAGGGCATTTTAAAAGGTGTAAGTACAAAGGTAAATGATTAGAACAAAAATGCAAACCTTCCTAAATAACCCCCCCACACACACCCTAAGTTTTGTAATAAAAGAGCAAAATATCTACTTCTCATAGAGAAATGGCAAAGATAACAAATACACATAATTATAAAATATTATGATGGATTTGAGGTCAAATTTTTCAGTCCTAACAATAAATGTGGGCGGGTTTAATCCACCTATTACAATAAAAATTTTCAATTTGACTAACAAAAGAAACCTCAACGACTTTTACAACACAAAAGACACATCTAAACCAAGGTGATTCTCTTTTTTTTTTTCTTTTTTGAGACAGAGGCTCTCTCTGTTGCCCTGCAGCAGCACGATCTCTGCTCACTGCAACCTCCACCTCCGAGTTCAAGCAATTCCCGTGCTTGAACTGGTTCTACAGGTGTGCACCACCATGCCCAGCTAAATTTTTTTGTATTTTTGGTGGAGACAGGGTTTCGCCATGTTGGCCAAGCTGATCTCGAACTCCTGACCTCAGGTGATCCGCCTGCCTTGGCCTCCTGAAGTGCTGGGATTACAGGCGTGAGCCACAACACCCAGCCTCAAAGTGATTCTGAACGGTTAAAAATAAAAGGTTAGGCCAGGCATGGTGGCTCACGCCTATAGCCCCAGCACTTTGGGAGGCCAAGGCAGGCGGGCGGATCACCGGAAGTCAGGAGTTCAAGACCAGCTTGGCCAACAAGGCAAAACCCCGTCTCTACTAAAAATACAAAAGAATTAGCTGGGCATGGTGGCTCATGCCTGTAATCCCAGCACTTTGGGAGGTCAAGGTGGGTGGATCACTTGAGGTCAGAAGACCAGCCTGGCAAACATGGCAAAACCCTGTCTCCACTAAAAATATTAAAAAATGTAGCTGGACACGGCGGCACGCACCTACAGTCCCAGCTACTCGGGAGGCTGAGGCAGGAGAATCACTTGAATCCAGGAGGCGGAGCTTAAGTAAGCCAAGATCACGCCACTGCACTCCAGCCTGGGCGACAGAGTGAGACCCGGTCTCTAAATAAATAAGTAAATAAATAAATGGCTGGAAAAAGTACATGAGGCAAATGGAAATAAAAAGAGAGTAGGTCGCCAGGCAAGGTGGCTCATGCTTGTAATCCCAGCACTTTGGGAGGCCGAGGCGGGTGTATAGCGGAGTCAGGAAATCGAGACCATCCTGGCTAGCACGGTGAGACCCAGTCTCTACTAAAAATACGAAAAAAAAAAAAAAAGCAAAATTAGCCAGGCATAGTAGTGGGTGTCTGTAGTCCCAGCTACTCGATAGGCTGAGGCAGGAGAATCACTTGAACCCGGGAGGCAGAAGTTGCAGTGAGCCAAGATCGCCCCACTGTACTCCAGCCTGGGCAACGGTGTGAGACTCCATCACAAAAAAAAAAAAAAAAAAAAGACTGGGGATGGCAATCCTGGTCTCAGGCAAAGCAGAATCCATGTCCTAAAGCATTAGCTGTGACACAAAAAGATATTTTTTAATCCTAAAAGCCTTACCCCACAATGAAGATATAACATATAAATATATGTATTTATATAAACATAATACAGCAATCACCTTCATGAGACAAAAACTATAAGAGATGCGAGAAGACACTGGAAACACACTAATAATAGGAGACTGTAATACACCATTCTTTGTACAAGACAGATTAGGTGAACCAAAAATAAGGAGACCTAAGATCTAAACAACATACTCAATAGAGTAACTCTTAGGGTTGTTTATCAAACTCTACACTCTGATACTAATGAATACAGTTTCTTCTCAACTGCTCACACCACATTCATCAAAATAATCATATATTAGGTCACGAAGAAAAAATATTTCCCCTTCAATAAAGTGGAAATATCACAAACAATATGTCTGATTATAATGCAATAAAACTAGAATTTATGAACAAAAATTTAAAAAACAGAAAGGCTTTTCCATCTAGAAATTTAATAGCCTACTATTAAGCAACTCCTGGGTATTCTAGAACTAAAATTATACTTTTTTTTTTTTTTGAGACAGAGTTTCACTCTTGTTGCCCAGGCTGGAGTGCAATGGCACAATCCCAGCTCACTGCAACCTCCGCCTCCCAGGTTCAAGTGATTCTCCTGCCTCAGCCTCCTAAGTAGCTGGGATTATAGGCATGAGCCAACATGCCCAGCTAATTTTGTATTTTTTTAGTAGAGACAGGGTTTCTCCATGTTGGTCAGGCTGGTCTTAAACTCCCGACCTCAGGTGATCTGCCCACATTGGCCTCCCAAGGTGCTGGGATTACAGGCGTGAGCCCAGCCAAAATTATACATTTTTAAAGAAATAATGACACTGAAAACACTACATATCAGAATCTTTTTTATTTTATTTACTTCTTTATTTTTTTTAAGGCTAGTCAAGTGAAGTAGCGGGAATGAAGAAGGAACAAAGAAATCTGTAACTGGTTGTCATCAATTAGTTGTAAATACCACTGCACTCGAACCAGCCTACAAATCCAATTTTATAGCATGCATTTAAAGCAGTAATCAGAGGAAAATTCATTGCACTAAACACACTTATCAGTAAAAATGAAAGAATAAAAATAAATTTTATTCCAAGGTCAAAAAACACTTAAAAATAGGCTTGGCACAGTGGGCTTACACCTGTAATCCCACCGCTTTGGGAGGCTAAGGTGGGAGGATCTCTTGATGCCAAGAGTTTGAGACTAGCCTGGGAAACATAATAAGACCCTGTCTCTACAAAAAAATAATTAAAAAAAAAATAGTTAGGCATGGTAGCACATGCCTGTAGTCCTAGCTTCTCGGGAGGCTGAGGCAGGGGGATTGCTAAAGCCCAGGAATCCAAGACTACAGTGAGCTGTGATCGACCACTGCACCCCAGCCAGGGTGACAGAGTGAGACCCTGCCTCAAAAAATATATAAATAAATAAACTTAAAAAATAACAAAATAAACCAAAAGAAAGGACATGGAAGGAAATAATAAAGATGAAAGTAGCCCACGCACAGTGGCTCATGCCTGTAATGCCAGCACTTTGGGAGACCGAGGCAGGAGGATTATTTGAGGCCAGGAGTTCAAGGCCAGCCTGGGCAACAGAGGGAGACCTTGTCTCTACAAAAAAAAAAAAAAAAAATCAAAATTAGCCAAGCGTGGTGGTGTACCACTGTAGTCCCAGCTACTTGGGAGGCTGAGGTGGGAGGATTGCTTTAGCCCAGGAGGTAGAGGCTACAGTGAGCTGAGACAATGCCACTAACTGCACGTCAGCCTGAGTGACAGAGTGAGACCCTGTGTCAGGAAAAAACAAACAAAAAAAGATGAAAGTAGAAGAAAAGAATGAGGGAAAAAATAGAAAAATAGATGTAATTACTAATTCAAAATTCTGTATTTTTGAAAAAAATAACAAAATAAAATAGATAAACCATTAGATAACTTAAGGAAAAAAGGGAAAAAGCACAAAAACACAAAATGAGAAAGGGCATGGAGGAAATAAGACGAAAAAATTTAAAAATAATAAAGGATGTCTTTGTAGACCTCTACCAAATAAATTTGAAAACCCAGATGAAAGGGATAATTTGCTAGAAAAGCACAGATCACTAAAATTTTATCCATTAGAGTTAGAAAGTTTAAATAGACCAATTTCCACAGAAAAAAAAATTGAAAAAGTTATAAAGGAAATATCACATGAAAAAGCGTCAGGCCCAGATGGTTTCACAGGGAATTCTACCAAATCTTCAAACACGAGATAGCCTCAATGCTCTATAAATTATTCCAGAGACAGCACAGAAGGATCAAGCCTGCAGGAAAATCAACCTTTGGAGGAAGATGAACCAGCAAAGGAGAAGCTGAGAAGGAACTTCCCGGGAAGAAGAAGGGAACCTTGGAATACAGAATCTCAGAAACAAAAGAAGGACGTTTCCAAAAGGGGGACTTTCATGGTAAATACTGCAGAGAGATCAAATAAAATAATGAAAATTGTTGACATATGTCTTGAGGGCTGAGTGGAAGGTCAGGAAACTGAGAAAGCCAATTATTAACAACTCTTTCAAACAGTCCAGCTGGGAAGGGAAGGGGAGGAGAGAAACTAGGTAGCAGCAGGGTGATTAGAGGTCTAGGAATGAGGTTTTAAAATGGGAGAAACTTGAGTCAGTTTCTTTTTTTTTCTTTTTCTTGAGTCCAGGTCTCGCTCCGTAACCCAGGCTGGTGTGCAGTAGTGCAATCATAGCTCACTGCAGCCTTGAACTCCTGGGCTCAAGTGATCCTCTCACTTATGCATACCCCATACCCAGCTAATTTTTAAAACATTTTTTTGTAGAGACAGGGTCTTGCTATGTTGCCAGGGCTGGTCTCAAACTCCCGGCCTCAGGTGATCCTCCCAGTTCAGCCTCCCAAAATGCTGGAAGTATAAGTATGAACCACCATGCCCAGCCAGTACATTTATTCTTAGTAAGGAGAGACTATTTGCCTGGCATTAGGGATGTAAAGTAGAATGACAGTCATAGCAGAGACGAGTCCAAGTCCAATTAGTTCAATGTTTCCTTTGATTCCTTAATATTAACTCCAAATAATGTGGTAAATTTTTCCCAATATTCCATATTTACATATTACCTTCTTCATTGGTCCAAACTGAATTTATTTCTTTATTTAGAGACAAAGTCTTGCTCTGTAACCCAGGCTGGAGTGCAGGGGCAAGATCTCAACTCACTGCAACCTCCGCCTCCTGGGTTCAAGCAATTCTCATGCCTCAGCCTCCCGAGTAGCTGGGATTACAGGCATGTGCCACCACGTCCGGCTACTTTTTGTATTTTTAGCAGAGACAGGGTTTCACCATGTTGGCCAGGCTGGTTTCAAACTCCTGACCTCAGGTGATCCGCCCGCCTTGGCATCCCAAAGTGCTGGGATTACAGGCATGAGTCACTGCACCCCGCACTCAAACTGAATTTTTATCAGTGGTCACATTCTATGTTACTTTATCAAACACGACTAAGTACCAGTGACTGCTAGGGGGTAGAAATACAAAGTTAGAAGAGACCTAGTTCTTTTCCTGGGGAAGTGAAGTCTCTAGTGAGTAAGAATGATGACATGAGTGCCAGCAGTTCCTGGTTTACTAAGTGTTGCACACGTACTATGTCATGTAATCCTCACAACAAACACATGAGGAAGCTGGAATTACCTGCATTTCATGAGTGAATAAAGCCAGCCTCAAAAAAGTTAACTGATCTGCTCCAGGTGGAGGACCTGAAAGTGGAACGCAGGTTCTTGCACTATAATACTAACACTTCCTCACCTTGCAACTCCTACCGTCAGAAAGATGACCCTGTGGAGACTGGCCGGTCACTTGCTCAGGTGCTTGGTCAGCAGAATTGGGCTTTAGCATACTTGAGAATAGTTGACATCAGGCATCACATCTAAAATTGCCATCTAAATTTGGAAAGCAGCTTTTATGCCCTCTGCTGCCCGGATAATGTAGCCTGCAGGGCACAAAGACCATGTTTTATTTATCATGAGCCCAAGTACTGTGTTTTATTTAGCATTATACCTGTCCCTCTCTGCTTTATATAGTGCTTTTAAATATTTGCTCCTTCAACATTTGTGCAGATTCATTCACTCACCTAATTTCAGAACCCTGATAAAGTTTTGAATATAATCTAGGGCAGCAGTTAAAAGAAAAACAACAACAAAAAAAACCTTCAAATTTAAGGAGTGTAAGAGTATAGGGGCAAAGGGTATTACAGAATAGCCTTTTGAATTAAGGTATTTACTTTAAAAAATGTATGAACCTCAAGATGCTTCTGTGCTCTGAAATTCTTACCAGATGGTAATAACATGGCTGGGTGCAGTGGCTCATGCCTGTAACCACAGCACTTTGCAAGGCCAAGGCAGGAGAATGGCTTGAGCTCAGGAGTTTGAGACCAGCCTAGGCAACATAGTGAGACACTGTCTCTATTTAAAAATTAAAAATTAAAAATAATTTTTTAAAATACCAACAAGACAAAGTTTGTCTAAATGTACTTTCCAGAAATGTCTCATTTGACCCTTAAAACTAGCCTTAAGAAAGGTAAGGCAAATGTATTATAACCCCTAGTGCATCGTTGCGGGAAGAGTACCTTAGAAAAGTTCAGTGACTTGTTCAAGATAATCAGATATACTGGATTTCAAGGGCATCCTAACTTTAAATCTCTTGTTTGCTCTATTAAGCCTTTGCTTCACCTAGATAACCTTTCTTTACCAAAATAGTAAAGGTGCAATAAAAGATGAGAAGCTGAAGTGCTATCAACAAATAAGAAAAAAGTGATGACTAGAGAGGGGTACTTGTACTTGGTTGAAGAGTACAAGTATGGCTCAAAAGTATTCCTACAGAAATCCCTTTAAATGTTGCCTTTTGCTAGGGTGTGGGTAAGGACACTCACAGATTGTTGGTAGGAGTGTAAAACAGCATATCCTTTCCAGAGGGAACTTGAGCAATTCACATTGGAAAAAAAAAAAAACCCCTTATGTGCATACTCTGCCCAACAATTCTATCATCTAGGAATGTACACTTAGAAAGTAATCATGGGCCAGGTGCGGTGGCTCACACCTGTAATCCCAGCACTTTGGGAGGCCGAGGCAGGCAGATCGCCGGAGGTCAGGAGTTCGAGACCAGCCTGGCAAATATGGTGAAACCCCGTCTCTACTAAACATACAAAAATTAGCCGGGCATGGTGGCACATGCCTGTAGTCCCAGCTACTCAGGAGGCTGAGACAGGGGAATCGCTTGAACCTGGGAGGTGGAGGTTGCAGTGAGCTGAGATCGCGCCACTGCACTCCAGCCTAGGCGACAGAGTGAGACTCAAAAGTAATCATAGATATGCAGACTTTACATTTACCCAACAATGTATTTTAATAGAGAAGAACTGAGAATGACCAATGAAATAAATTACAATATTACAGCCATGTAATGCCATGCTATCTTAGTCAGAAAAAGATAATTACAAAAGAGAATTCACTTTAGAAAAACCCATGTCTTAAGCTCTGCATAGAAAAAGACTGGAGGTGTATAACCACACTCACAATGGTTACTTGGAACGGTGAAACCATATTCACCACGGTTATTTGGAATTTGGAATAGTGAAACAATGTACCTTCATTGTGATTCCTATCTTAGAAATGTGTATAAATGGCTAAAGGTTCCTATATATTAAAATGTTTTTAATAAGACGTTTTAAAGGTTTCTTGGGGGTGACTGAAACAGCTGTGATTTCAAAATAAAATTTTAGTAGCCATTTAAAACAACATTAAAAATAAAACATTGCTATACCATTACCATTAAAATACCAACGAAAAATAAAGCCCTCGTTATGAATCCACAGCAAAACCTTTTCTTTTCAAATTCTTGTCTGTCGTTCCGACCTGTTCACATTCAGAAAAATGCTAAAAAGACTGCTTGGCCAGGAGCCTAAAGCGGCCTTCCTGATTTCTACCTACAGTTTGTAATTTGTTCCAGGAAAAAAAAAAAGGCAATCACCTAATAGGCAGTTCGAAAAGCACCCGGGTAGGAAAATATTTACGGGGTAGGTTTCTCTCCCATTTCTTTCCCTCGAGACCTACCAACAGGACAGTCCTGACAGTGACTGGCCCAGTTTCCCAATACAACCTAGAGAAGCACAGGAGATGCGCCAATTTTCAGTAGACGTTTCAAAAACGACAAGTTTTACTTTACAATGCAGGATAATGAGCAGCCTTCACTACTCATTCTCGACGTTGACAGAGGAAGATGCCGCTGCGCTGCAGGAGCGCCTCACCAGGACAAAGCGGGGTGCGGGGGGGTCCTCGGCTCAGGCCCCGCAGGCGACGCGTCCAGGGCCGCCTCGAGAACAAGGGCACCGTCCCCGGACACCGCCTCCCCGGCCCCCGCCCTTTTGACAGATGCAGGGAACCGCGGGGACCGCAACCTGCCCGACGACGGCAGAGGATCAGGGTCGCGGCAGCAGGTGCTCGGGTCGCCGCGCCTGTCGAGGGACCTCAGGGGCGCCGGGCAGCTGTCCCCTGGAAACCGGAGACGGGTCGCCTCGCCCGAGGGAAGGCGCTGACCGAGGGACCTACGGGGCGCAGAGGAGTTGTCCCCAGGGAACCCGAGTCGGACCGCCGCATCCTCCCCGCTGCCCCATCCGCCACCCCGAGAACCGCCCCTCCTGGGTGGCGGACACGCCCTCCCTGCGGGCCCAGGCCTCGTCGCCCCGCCCCCCCCAGAGCCGCTCACCCGGCCGGGAAGTCCCCGCCGCTGCCGCCGCCGCCGCCGCCGCCGCCGCCGGCCCCTCGGGCCTCGCCCCTCACTCTGCCGCCGCCTCCCACAGCAGCGGCACCCCAACCGCCTCTGCCGGGTCGTGGGACCCGGAACCACTTCCTTCCGGAACCGCCTCGCCCCGCCCCCGCCCTGGCCCCGCCCACTATTCGCGGCCTCGCGCTGAGCCCGTTCTCCAGCCGACCCCTATCCTCTACTCTCCCGGCGAGGGTGCCCCGCCCGGGCTTCTCGGGCCAGAGCGCTGCGCCCCCTGCCGGCCGTTCCCACCGCTGCCGCTCTGTCCAGGGCGCCTGCGCCCTCTGCCACCCGCCTGCCGGGTCCGGCTAGAGCGCCTGCGCCCTCTGCCGCCCTCCTGCCGGAAAGGAGGGGACTTAATGGGCGTTCCAGGTCCAGGGATCCTGGGGGTTAAGGCCCAGGGATTGGAGGTCACCCCTCAGTCACGGACAGAACTTGATCCCGTGAGCCTTCTAGCTTTGTGCAGATCTCTAACCATTCACCTACCCTCTATCCATTTCCCACGCCTCAAATTAAGCATATTCCCGGAAAACAAAGCCTCCCCGCTGAACTTCCCAAACGGTCGGATGGTACCAGCATCTATCCATCATCCAACTCAAAGGATTGCCTCATCTCTGTCTACTCGCTTGGTTTCTCCCCTCCCGCAGTCCATGCACCAGCCTCAAAGATAGTGTGACTTCTTCACTCT